AATCCAATCAACAAAGAGTGGAGCCACATTGTTCTGTTATCTAACAAGAACCACTGATTTCAAGACCAGATCATTCACGGGCGAGGTCACACATCTATCTACAAGAACATGTTGAATCCAAATTTCTATGTTTAGTTAAGATCCAACCAACTTTAGCTATCACCAATATCCGCTATTCTAACGCCATAACAAGCTTCCTGCATTCATAGACCTACCTTCCCTGTCATCTACCTATAATCTTCAGGAATCTATATTGACCATTCTATTACCCATAAGTGCTTAGTGATTATGTTGAGACAGAGAAAGACCAGCAGCAGCGACAGGATTATTGCCCTGTATAATCCACAGGACACACCAATATTCTAACATCGAATCAGATACAAGAACATGCTGTTGAATCTTGAGCCAAGGCAAGATTTATAAAAGATGTTAGAGAAACAAGTTATCAAAAAGCAGAACCAAATATAGAAACTTGATAACAAGCAAGATTCACTTGGAAGGTTTTCAACAATCACCAGATTCCTCCTATATACACTTAACACCAGAGATTCAAAGAACACACTCCAACACAACAAGATTTTGCTTCAGTGTCTAAACAATCACATCAAGAGTTGAAGTCTATAATCCTAACCCCCAATTCCTCCTCATCACGATCATCTTCATGTATTTGCTATAACCCTATACGAGTAGCAATCGGATTGTCATCACAATACTCACCCGGAACGCTGGAGAAGGAAACCTAGGCGCTTCGGAGATGGATTTGAGAAGCGTCTCTTCCTCGTTTCCGATCAATTGAGAACGGCCTTGGATTACAAGCTGCGGAGTGAACATGGTGTCAAGATTCAAGGCCTCTACGTACGCCTTTTGCCTCACCGTCCATTGGCTAGATCCGTACGGATCTTTCCAACCCTTGTAGTCCCAATAATCGACGTGGAAGACCAAAACCATCGCCGGAGACCCAGATCCACCACCGTCTCCGCCACGGATCTGGGAGTCGAAATCGCCTCGACCGAGACGGGACATGAGCATCTCCGCCGCCGGAGACGTTTTGCATCCCTGCGAGGAGAATAGCTGGACGAGAACGGGTCCGTCACCGGCGGGAACATCTGCCGAGACGGCGGCGGAATTGTTGCCGGAGACGGGTTTAGTGGTGGAGGATGAAGATTTTTTGACGCAGAAACAGGCGAAAAGACGGCGCGCCATTGGAGAAAATTGCCCGTCTCTTCGCCTACCGAAGAAATCGGATAAAGAAGGAGGAAAGAAAGGCGGAGACGAAACGAAATCAGAGAGTCTCAAAGATGAATTTTCCCGAGAAAATTTGAGAATGTCAGAGATTGTTGAGGAGGAAGAAGAATATTAGACACGTCAAGAGGCATAGAGAGAAAGGCGGCAAAGTGTCTTTACTCATTTGCCAATTTTTTTTTTTTTTTGGATAATTATCAATTTGGCCAAAAGCTGTAGTTTTCTAACTAGTTAATACAAAAAGATGTTTGGAATTTTTTTTTTTATAAATATAATAAATATCTATGAATATTTTAATACAAACCGACTTAGTCGGTTCATTTGCTTGCCTATATAAGGAATGTAATTATAGAGAAGTTTTTTTGG